ATAAATAATAGTGGAAATTTTCTGCACAGTGAAAGTGTTAGTATTGTTCCAGGAAGGGTTACTTTAAAGGAAAAGACACACCTTTGGCATCTCCTGGTGACATTCTTGAAATCCACAGATAAAATGTCAGTGACCTCCCCACAGAATTGAAAAACACCACCACCACCACCACCACCACATTGGCAGCAGATTTCTCATTGGTAGCACTGAAAGCCAGAGGACCAAGGCTGGCCTGGGCCCAGGATTCTCCACCAGAGTGTTCATACTGTTCCCCAACCAGATTAAGAAATAGATTTTGAGCCGGGCTCGGTGGCTTATGCCTGTAATTCCAGCACTTTGGGAGGCTGAGGTGGGTGGATCACGAGGTCAAGAGATCGAGACCCTCCTGGCCAACATGGTGAAACCCTGTCTCTAAAAATACAAAAATTAACTGGGCGTGGTGGCATGCGCCTGTAGTCCCAGCTACACAGGAGGCTGAGGCAGGAGAATTGCTTAAACCCGGGAGGCAGAGGTTGCATGAGCCGAGATCGCGCCACTGCACTCCAGCCTGGGTGACAGAGGAAGACTCTATCTCAAAAAGAGAAAGGGAATGAATAGTAATTTTCCCAAACCATCAAAAATATGGAAAAAGGAGTAAAATAAACCATTCACATAAAATAAAGTGGCATAAAAATGTCGGATCCCTCAGTTGTTCCAGCAAAATCAGACTGCTTTAGACAAAATCCAGTTATAGTTGCTTACAAAAAACATCTAAAACAAGATAGTAAGAAAAGGTTCAAAATTACACATTGGGCACGGTGACTCACGTCTGTAATCGCAGCACTTGGGGAGGCTTGGGTTTTCTTGAACCCAGGAGTTTGAGTTTTCTTTTTTTTTTTTTTTTTTTTTTGAGACGGAGTCTCGCTCTGTCGCCCAGGCTGGAGTGCAGTGGCGCGATCTCGGCTCACTGCAAGCTCCGCCTCCCGGGTTCACGCCATTCTCCTGCCTCAGCCTCCCGAGTAGCTGGGACTACAGGCGCCCACAACCGCGCCCGGCTAATTTTTTGTATTTTTAGTAGAGACGGGGTTTCACCGTGGTCTCGATCTCCTGACCTTGTGATCCGCCCGCCTCGGCCTCCCAAAGTGCTGGGATTACAGGCGTGAGCCACCGCGCCCGGCGAGTTTGAGTTTTCTTGAACCCAGCCTGGGCAGCATGGCAAGACCTGTCTCTGCCAAAATTACAAAAATTAGCTGGGTGTGGTGGCTCGTGCCTGTTGTCTCAGCTACTTGGGAGGCTAAGACAGGATGGTCGCTTGAGCCCAGAAGATGGAGGTTGCAGTGAGCCGAGATTATGCCACTGTACACTCCAGTCTGGGTGACAGAGTGAGATCTTGTCTCAACAAAGACACCAAAATTACAAGTTGGACAAAATCATACCAGTCACATGTAACCAAAGAGAAAGCAGAATTGGCAAAGTTAAAGTTAATATCAAGTGGGTTTTAGGGTCCAAGGTTTTTTTTTTTGACACGGAGTCTCGCTCTGTGGGTCACCTAGGCTGGAGTGCAGTAGCGCCATCTCAGCTCACTGCAATCTCTGCCTCTTGCGTTGAAGCGATTCTCCCACCTCAGCCTCCTGAGCAGCTGGGATTACAGGCATCCGCCACCACACCTGCTAATTTTTGTATTTTTAGTAGAGACGGGGTTTCACCATGTTGGCCAGTCTGGTCTTGAACTCCTGACCTCAAGTGATCTGCCTGCCTTGGCCTCCCAAAGTGCTGGGATTACAGGCATGAGTCACCACACCTGGCCAGATCCAAAATATTAAAGGATGCAGAGGATGTTAGGTAAAGATACAAAGTTCAATTTGTGGAGATGCATAGTAACTTCCACAGGCATTAAGTGGAAAAGTGAGAATGGGTTGTAATGTTAGTTTGTTACTCAACAGATGCTAGCTGTTTAATTATACATAAACACTACTGGCAGTAAAAGGAGAGCTTGAACAGATGTCCAGGTGAAACTCCAGGGAGAGGAGCAAGGGAGTCAGAGTCAGTTCACTGAGCCTGTTTCTCCTGTGAAATGGATAATGAGGTTGCCTTACTCACAGTGGTGGCAAGACTCAGAGATGATTGCCACCTACACAGTGTTTAGGACTCTGAGAAGTGTTAGTGAGCCGTTTTGGAGGGGTGAACCTTTGTCCTTCAAGAGGGGCTGGATTTTTGGCAGGACCTGAAATAATAACTAAGGATGACCACACAGTCACAAGCTGTCTCCCTGGGCTCGAGGTGGCTCCCACCCAGGGAAGGGGACGGGGGTGTCAGCCACTGCATCACGACCTGGGGTCGTCACTCCCTGGGGGAGGGAGGTAAACCTTTACAGGTAAGGAAAGTGAGACCCAGAGACAGAGTCATTTGTGAGCACGCCAGGCTGATGCGTGGCAGGGGGAAAATTCAAATCTGGGGAGGGTCTGACCCCAAAGTCCAGCATCCCTGGAGCCTCCTGCTCATGTCAGGTGTTTGGATTAATGGGACCTCCCAGAAATAGTGTGTGCAGCCTCCCAGGGGACAGCTTCCCCTGTCAGGCACCCAGACCAGTCCGCCGTGGAGAGCAGCAGCCTGCAGATGGGTCACCAGCGCTCAATGGGACAGATGCTGGCATGGCATTGGGATGTCACATGCATACCCCCCCACTGGACATGAGGATTCCAGGGGCTCACGGGATCTGCCTGCTGCACCCACAGGTGCTTGGGCAATGCCCCTTTCCCCTGCAGGAGCTCCTGCCAGTCCTCCTTGCCAGCACCCCCTCATGCCCAGTGCCCTGCACTGCGTTTCTGAGGTATGTGGGTCACAAGTCCCCCTCTCCTCCTCCAGGTGTGGCAGGCGTGCTTGTGGGACACCCGTTTGACACAGTCAAGGTGAGTCTCATCGCTGCTTTTTTTTCTCGGCGCGTACATTGGAAAGAGGCTCGCAGGGTTGGGGTGGCTGGAAGCCCGTTTCCGTGGACAGCCCCAGGTGGGCAGCTGCTTTTACACCGCGCCGGGCTGAACCTTCCTGCTGCTTCGTCCTGGCATCTCCCAGCTGGGGCTGATCCACATTCTGGGTTCATGGCCAAGTCCATCCTGGGCTTGGCCAGCTGGGACCGAGGTGCTGAGGTTTCCTCCCACCCAGAGCAAGGGCACCCACATTGTTCCCATGCAGAACTCCCCCAAACACTTCCTTGAAAGAAAGAAAAGTTCAGAGAGAAAATACAAAAAAGCCAAAACTCGTACCTCCCATGAACATGATCTTCACGGAGTGGTGATCATCCTTACGGAGAGTCCGAGTGATAGTTTCCCACGTGCCAGAGGCGTGAGGAAGGGCTCTGTTAGCCGGTTCCTTGACAACACCCCACACCTCCATAAACCGGAGTTCCAGGTTCTCAGACCCCCCTGAACGGAAACCAAGGAAATCTGTGTCCTCCAGCTGGCAATTCCCAAATAAATCCCCCACCCTTCGCTTGTGGTTGGGCTGTATGTTCTGAAAGTAGCGCAGTGGGGCCCTTCCTCACGCTTTTTCCTGGGCCCCAGGGCAAGCTGTGAGTGGCGGGCACCAGACCAGCCTTGTGCTTGCCGGCAGCACTACACGTGGCCCCTCTTCCCACTGAGGGAAGGCAAGGCAGGATGCACATCCTGAGCTGGGTTGGCAGGAGACTTCCGGTCTCCTTTTCTAGTGAGCCCAGGTGTTTGTTGGCAGAGACAGTGACTGCTTACCATAAGGCTGGATTGCATCCAGCACAAGAGTGAGGGCCCGGCCTTATGCATTGGCTGTGACCTTAAAAAGCTCTGTCCCTGGGCCTTGTGCAGGTCCAGGCCCCTCTGCCAGCTGGTTTTCTGCATGACCTTGGGCAGGTCCCTGTATCTTTGGGCTCAAACGTTGTCATCGTGCCAGTGCTCACCAGCATAATTTATGTTGGATTAAATGCTGGCTCTGAAAAGCACAACTCTTCCATCCAATTTGTGGAGGCGGCTGAAGGGCCAGGCTTTCTTGGCAGGCAGCGGCCCCACGTTTCCTGCACCAGCCTGCCGAGAGGGAGGCTGTGCAGAGCCTGCCCACACAGCCCCCGGCCCCAGCCGTGCCCACGCGCTGCCTGGCCAGGCCACCCGTGAACCCTCCCCCAGGCCAGAGCAGCCCAGGACAGCCTGGCAGTGTCCACGTTGCACTGTGTTTATATCTCATCGTCATGTGTTGTGAATGCCTCTCGCAACCCAGAAGTGCCTCGCATTCACTTCCTCTTTCCAGCTCCGTGGAGGCCTAGGCTCTCTGAGCTATGAATCGGCCAGACCTGCTGGGCTCCTGCCCGGCCCCCTCAGGCAGCCCCTGGCAGGCCGGGGAGCACTTTCGTTCTGGTGCTCCGCCGTCCTGAGCCACTGAGCCCGCGAGCAGCATCCCTGGTGTGACTCAGGGACAGGAGTTTCTCCAGCCCATGAAATTTTACTCCCCAGACCCTACTTCACTGTCTGGAGGGTGGTCTTTGAGAAGATCTATTTGTGATCCTTTTTTTTTTTTGCCACTGTGTCGCCCCAGCATCACATCTGGACATACCTACCTTAAAAAGCTGAACTTTTTTTTTTCTTTGAGACGGAGTCTGTGTCTGTCACTCAGGTTGGAGTGCAGTTGTGCGACCTTGGCTCACTGCAACTTCCTCCTCCTGGGTTCAAGTGATTCTCCTGCCTCAGACCTCCCCAACCCCCCAAGTAGCTGGGATTACAGGCACGTGCCACCACCCCTGGCTACTGTTTGTTTTTAGTTGAGGTCCAGCACATGTAGAAAGTGCACACATCCGGCCGTGCGCAGTGGTTCATGCCTGTAATCCCAGCACTTCTGGAGGCTGAGGTGGGCGGATCACAAGGTCAGGAGATCAAGACCATCCTGGCTAACAGTGAAACCCTGTCTCTACTAAACATACAAAAAATTAGCTTGGCGTGGTGGCGGGCACCTGTAGTCCAGCTACTCGGGAGGCTGAGGCAGGAGAATGGCGTGAACCTGGGAGGCAGAGCTTGCAGTGAGCTGAGATTGCGCCACTGCACTCCAGCCTAGGTGACAGAGCGAGACTCCGTCTCAAAAAAAAAAGAAAGTGCACACATCCTAGGTGTACAAGTCATCACAAAGCACAGGCGTGGGGAGCTGCCACCCAGGAGAAACAGAACATGGCCAGCCCTCTGGAAGTCTTCACTCCTGCTCCTATCAACTCCTCCCGCCCCTTCTTCCGAGGCTTCCACTGGCCTAACTTCCCCCTTTTTTTTGAGACACGGGTCTTGCTCTGTCACCCCAGGTGGAGTACAGTAGCCCACTGTAGCTTTGATTTCCCAGGCTCAAGCAGTCCTCCCACCGCAGCCTCTCAAGTAGCTGAAACTACAGGCAGACACCACCATGTCTAGCTAATTTTTTTTAAGTTATTAGTAGAGATGGGGTCTTGATACATTGTCCAGCTGGTCTCAAGCTCCCAGGCTCAAGTGATCCTCCTGCCTTGGCCTCCCAAAATGCTGGGATGACAGGCCTGGCCCACTGTCCTCACTTCCAACACCACGGGCCCCTTTTGCCTGGTTTGAACTTAATATAATTGCAGCTGTACCCTAGAATCATCAGGGGCGATCTGAGTCCATGTCAGTCTGTACTGTCACATGGCCACAGACAATCTCATGGCTGGGACAGTCACAGTTTATTCCCCCAGACCCTTGGGACTGAAAGAATCCAAGATCTAGATCTCCTCTATAGCGTCCAGAACCACAGCCCCCGTCCTGAAGCACATGGGCCTTCACACGTGGTTCTGCACGAAGGGAATTTTCTGTCCTGCTTCCTTGGACACAACAATAATAAGGAAACAGTCACTTTCATCAGGGAGCAGTCATCTTGACCTGTGATGAGGGGGTGACCGGCTATCCCTGGGCAGGGGATGGGGAGGGTGGGTGGGGGCTGGCTGTGGGGGCTCCGTGCCTGGATGTGATGTTGAAATTTTGTGTTGCTTTAACCGCCTTTACTTTCTGAGCTAGGGGCTGTCTCCATCCATAGCAAAAGTGTAACTTTGTTGTAGATGGGCGTAAGCCTCACCCTGGAGAGCGCTAGTAAGTACAGACCAGGTGAACCAGACCCCAGCCTGGACCCCACCCTGTCGTGCCCATCTCCCCAACCCCAGAGTTCCCTCCGTAGCAGGCACAGGGAGGGTGTGAGACAAGCTTGGGCCCAGCACAGATCCTGGGGTGGGGGCTCGGGCTGGTCGAAAAAAATCAGCCCCCTCTGGATTGGGGGTCCTCATGTGGGGGTCTCTCAGCCCTATGGGGAGCTGGGAGCTTCCTAAACTTGTGTCCAAATGACTAGTTTCCCAGGGGTGGGTCCATTCCCATCAATCCTCAAAGGAGAGCCTGTCATCCCAAGATTTTAAAAGCCTGAGCTGTAGATGACAAGACTTGGGATGCTGGGCCACAGTTCCTCTCCCAGAGAGTGAGGGCTTGTCACAGACTGAGGGGTCAGAAACAAAGTAGGGAGAGACCTCTGCCCACATTGGTGGGAAAAGCTGAGTTGACCTGAGCCTGACATTCCCGAGCTGCTGGACTTGGGCGTTCACCAGTGTATGTGACCTGCAAAGACTTCACAACACTACCCAGGTGGCATTGAGTATCCAACCTGGGAAGGGATAGCTCCACGTCACATCGGTTCTATTCACACAGCCCTCTTAGTCCCAGTGTTGGGCCTGCAGGAGGAACAGAGAGATCCCCCCAGAGACCACAGAACATTGAAGGGAAAGCAGCAAACCTCACATCAAGGTGCTGGCCAAGAACTGGGCCTCCAGGGTGGGAGGGGTGCTTCGGGCCAATCTTGAAGCATTGGCTTCCAGCTGTTGAGGTCCTGGGCGTACTGAGATGGTACTTGTTTCCTAACAAAACATTTTTTGTAAGTGCATTCACCAATAGAGGGCCCACCTATTCTGGTGGAGAGAATTGGAAAAGGTTCCAGAATCTGGGCAGAAGCCTGGCTGTTCCCGGTGAGGGCTCTCCCTTGCCAGCACTCCCTCCCACCCTCACTCTGACCAACACAGCTACTCATATCACTGGAGAAGACAGCTTTGGCCAAGTTGTAAAACATCTCTGAGCCTCAGTCTTCCCATCTTGGAAATGGGGGCAGTTGTCCCAATGCCAAGATAATTGAGTGTGAAGCCCTCCCCTGTCCCGTGCTGCCTAGTACCGAAGGCACTTGCTTTGTGGCCCTGGCTGTATGAATGATCATTCCTGAGTCAGACCTAGGGAATCAGCCCCTGAGAATGTGACTTGACCTAGTTTACTCCCACCCCCCACCCCGCTCTGCAAGTCTGAGCCTCCTGTCGAGCAGAGATAAGCTCATAGGCAACAAAGAGCGCTTTGACATGGAAGAGGTTCTGGGCCACTGGGCTCGGAGGCGGTGGGGCCTGAGCAGTGTCCCGGGCCCCAGAGCTGCTGATGTGGGTCCCCAAGGAGGTTGTTGGCTGTTCTCTTGCCACTGCTCTGTTAACTCGTAACTGCTGTTCTCACTAGAGGCTACTGGCAGAGACCAGGCAGGAGCTCCTGGAGCCAAGGTCATTGCTTATATTATTTATTTATTTATTTATTTATTTATTTATTTATTTATTTATTGAGACGGAGTGTTGCTTTCTCGCCCAGGCTGGAGTACAGTGGCGTGACCTCACTACATCCTCTGCCTCCCCGGTTCAAACAATTCTCCCACCTGAGCCTCCTGAGTAGCTGGGATTACAGGCGTGTGCCTCCACGCTAGGCTAATTTTTTTTACAGACATGGTTTCGCCATGTTGGCCAGGCTGGTCTCGAACTCCTGACCTCAAGTGATCCACCCACCTCGGCCACCCAAAGTGTTGGGATTACAGATGTAGCCACTGCACCCGGCCAGGCTCATCACTTTTTGCACCTATTGCCTCGAAGCCAGTCTGATGGGACATTAGGGCAGGGGACCTTCAGCCTGGTCTGGGACATGGGCTGCCCACTCAGCAGTATGACAAGCATCACCTGGAGAATGGGCCGGTCTCAGGAGGTCGTTCATGCCCCACCGGCAGTGCACTGTGCAGCCATAGTGTAAACAAGAGGCTTAACCTCAACTGGTCTGAGATCTTGGGGACCCCCTACCCTGTCTCCAGCAGCCTGTCCCTGTAGCTGTTTGCCCACCGGCACCCCATCCTGAAAAGGCATAGATACCCGGTCCGCCCTGCCCTGGAATTACAAAAGTCTTAGACTGTGCCTGAGTGCCCAGCCTCCTTAGGAGACCCTCCCAGGCAGCCTGAGTGCCAGACCCGGGAGCTGGGTGCTCTGGCCCTGCCTGCCTGCCTGCCTCTCACTGGACCCTCTCCTTCCAGGTGCGGCTTCAGGTCCAGAGCATGGAGAAGCCTCAGTACCGTGGGACGTTGCACTGCTTCAAGTCCATCATCAAGCAAGAGAGTGTGAGTGGCCTGGGCTGGTAGGGCTCGGGAGGCACAGGATGGGGAACCAGTCTCCGGGCTGCCACCACCCCAGACCAGAGAGCCAGGAAGGAAGGTGTCAGGATGGCCAGGAGGCCAATCAGGACCTAGGTTCCAAAGAAATTCTGCTTGGTCCTCAGGAGCCCCTGGGGTGGGCTGGGGCTGCCATCCTCCGACCCCTCTCCGCGTGGAGGGCCCAGGAGGTGCGTGTTGCCGGCTCTGATGGCGTCTCTGCCCCCGCAGGTGCTGGGTCTGTACAAGGGCCTGGGCTCGCCGCTCATGGGGCTCACCTTCATCAACGCGCTGGTGTTCGGGGTACAGGGCAACACCCTCCGGGCCCTGGGCCACGACTCGCCTCTCAACCAGTTCCTGGCAGGCGCGGCGGCGGGCGCCATCCAGTGCGTCATCTGCTGCCCCATGGAGCTGGCCAAGACGCGGCTGCAGCTGCAGGACGCGGGCCCGGCACGCACCTACAAGGGCTCGCTGGACTGCCTCGTGCAGATCTACGGGCACGAGGGTCTGCGTGGCGTCAACCGGGGCATGGTGTCCACGCTGCTGCGAGAGACGCCCAGCTTCGGCGTCTACTTCCTAACCTACGACGCGCTCACACGGGCGCTGGGCTGCGAGCCGGGCGACCGCCTGCTGGTGCCCAAGCTGCTGCTGGCAGGTGGCACGTCGGGTATCATGTCCTGGCTCTCCACCTACCCTGTGGACGTGGTCAAGTCACGGCTGCAGGCCGACGGGCTGCGGGGAGCCCCGCGCTACTGCGGCATCCTGGACTGCGTGCGCCAGAGCTACCGCGCTGAGGGCTGGCGCGTCTTCACACGGGGACTGGCGTCCACGCTGCTGCGCGCCTTCCCCGTCAACGCCGCCACCTTCGCCACGGTCACCGTGGTGCTCACCTACGCGCGTCGCGAAGAGGCCGGGCCCGAGGGCGAGGCTGTGCCCGCCGCCTCCGCCGCCCCTGCGGGGCCCGCTCTGGCGCAGCCCTCCAGCCTGTGACACTCACCCCGCCCTCCTTCCCCAGGGCCCCTTCTCAGAAACCTGAGACATAAATTGGCCCCTGAGTCGATTGCCGTGCTCCTGCTCGGATGCCGGGGGCTGTGGACTCTCTCAGACCTGGGCTGAATTTTGCTGATCAGCCGGGTGGCTTTGGCCGAGAACTTCACTTGCCTCAGTATTCTCATCTGTGAAATAAGGACCCTCATACCCACATTGTAGAGTCACGAAGGTCAGAGATTATTCTGAGTGGCAGCCAGCACCTGGCCTGGCTGAGGACATTGCACCATTCATTATCCTGGAAATTGAGGCAGACACTCCAGCCCCTTTCTGGGATCCTGGCCACGCCACTGTGCTCCTGCCCTGCAGGCTGGCTCCCACGGGTCTCTGATGGCCCACCAAGGGGCTGCCCAGGGACCTGACTCCATATATCCTCCACCCGGGAGGCTGGTGGGCCACCTCTGGTCTGTGTTAGGGACAGAGGAAAACTTGGTGTGCCTCCTGGTGTCGCAGAACTGGATCCTCTGCATACCCCAGCTTCTCCACATGCCACTGCTAGGGGTACCCCAGCTGCTGCCACTCCTGCTGGAGGGTGAACTGGGGACCCTCCACCCTCCGGGAAGCCATGGAGTCTGCTGGAGGCACCATATCAGCGAACGGGACTAGCGTGGGGAGCAGACAGACCAGTGGGTGGAGGTCTCAACAGTTCAAGTGTGATGCAGCTGTGGCAAGAAGAAATCCTTCCACCTCTGGGCCTCAGGCTGCCTGTCCATAAAATGGGGACATGGCCAGCTGATGGACAACTGAGTCTCTGGTCCACCCATCCCCGCCAGCCAGGATCCCCCAAGGTGTGCAGAGGGCTCAGCAGAGAACAATATGGGATCCCCCTCACCAGGGCTGGAACACCTCCAGCCACAAAGAAGCCAAAGGTCAGTTCCTCTTGCTCCCCAGCAAACGGTGCCTCCTAGGCATTCTCAGAGCCAGGGCTTCATCCCTGTGAAGGCACAGGGTCTGATAGTGGGCACAGGGGTGGCTAGTTGGGGCCTGGGGCAGGAGAAGGCCGTCCCAGGCATCCTGGGGAATGTGCTTGATGAAGATGACACTGGGCTTTGCACAGCCTGGTGTCACTGCACAGAAACTGTCAAGGGAATAAAGTTTTCTTTGTTTTTTAAGTGGTGAAGCTGCCTTTGCATATGGTGGAGGAAAGGGCTTCATTCAACACCCTTGCCCTGGAGTCGAAGGGGCCAGCTCAGAGGTGTGTGTGCCCTCGGATCCTGACAGCGGCCTTGGCCATGTGACCTGGGCAGTTGCGGATACATCTGAGAACCTGTTTTCTCGTCTGTAAGGCAAGCTAATGAAGGGCGAGAGGATTGGAATGTAAAGCTTATGAATACGCTGGTGCAGCCTGGCCATTCAGCAGAAGTGCCTCTGCTATCATCCCAGCAATGAGACGCCTGTGGTGAGGGACACTGGTGGGTGGGGCAGCAGGGACAGGGGGTGTCCCAAAAACAGCTTCCTGGAGGAGGGGAGGTCTGAGCGGAGCTGACCATTTCAGCCACCCGGGCAACTTGGGCACAACTGTACCTAACCTGACCTAGGAGGTCAGAGAGCGCTTCCTGGAGCTTTGCCAAAGGTGTGGTGTGGGGGTCTCAGTCTCACTGCACACCTCACCTGCAGTTCTGTTCAGCCTCCTGGAGTTAGCCCTCGGCATCCTGAGCCTCTGCATCCACCAGCCCTGGAGGCTGTCCCTCCCAGCTGCTGAGCCAAGAAGGTCTGCCCACTGACAAGGGAGAGGGGGCCCCAGTTCCTGTGCCTGTTTAATCCTAGTGCCTTCCAGGGAGGCAGGAGGCTTCGAGGAAGCTGGCTGTTGACCCCCGGGGTCTCCTTGCCTCTCACTTCTCTTTACTGTGAAATAAACCAGGGGAAGCTCCCAGGGGTGAGGGACACACCCTGGCCATGGGCACAGAGAGGGGCCCCTTCCCTGGCTCCTCCATGTCCAGTTTGGCAGCCCCTTTGCCTCTGTAGGCCTGGGTGGCTGAATCTCTCAGGGCAGCTTTGGTCCGCCTGTGGCTGTGGTCCTCATCACCCTGGATCTCTCCACACATCTGCACTCTCTGGAAAGGCCCCAACGTGACCCTTGTCAGGAACTGATTTGAGCACAAAGCTTTCTCCAGCCCTGCTCACCCTGGGGCTTCTCCACGACCCCTGCTGCTGCCTGCCATCTGGGGACAGCACACAGACAGGCCAGCCATTCGGAAGTGAGGGGTGGTGCGGCAAGGAGCAAGGTGAAGGGGCGGGGGGCTTCCAGCTGCCTCACACTTCCCAGTCCAGCCGCCTCACACGACCAACACATCTGCCAGGCAGGCAGCGGAGCTGCTGCTGTTTTTAATGAATTTCTTTTACATTTTCTTTTCTCCCTGATTTGAACTTTTTTTTTTTTTTTTTTTTTTTTTTGAGACGGAGTCTTGCTCTGCCGCCCAGGCTGGAGTGCAGTGGCCCGATCTCAGCTCACTGCAAGCTCCGCCTCCCGGGTTTATGCCATTCTCCTGCCTCAGCCTCCTGAGTAGCTGGGACTACAGGCGCCCGCCACCTCGCCCGGCTAGTTTTTTGTATTTTTTAGTAGAGACAGGGTTTCACCGTGTTAGCCAGGATGGTCTCGATCTCCTGATCTCGTGATCCGCCCGTCTCGGCCTCCCAAAGTGCTGGGATTACAGGCTTGAGCCACCGCGCCCGGCCTGATTTGAACTTTTTTAAAATTTTGAGATGAAGTCTCGCTCTGTTGCCCAGGCTGGAGTGCAGTGGCGCTCTCAGCTCACTGCAACCTCCACCTACTGGGTTCAAGTGATTCTCCTGCCTCAGCCTCCGAGTAACTGGGATTACAGGTGCCCGCCACCACACCTGGCTAATTTTTGTATTTTTAGTAGAGATGGGGTTTCACCATGTTGCCAAGGCTGGTCTCAAACTCCTGACCTCAAGTGATCCACCTGCCTCAGCCTCCCAAAGTGCCGGGATTACAGGCGTGAGCCACCACGTCCGGCCTCTGATGTGAATTTATTTGAAATAAGTGATCTATGAAGGTGATTAAAAATACCCCCAGAACCCAGGCTTATGCAGTGAAGAGGAAAACCTCCTTCACCTCCCTGGGGCCAGCCTCTCCTGAGTCGAGGACAGTCTCCAGTTCCCGGAAGGCATCCAGCACATCTTGCACAAGTGGCAGCATGGCAGGCAGGGGGACATCTGCACCCCCCACGAAGTGTGGCCGAGGTCCTGACTGTTCTGTTCTTTGCTGTCTTCCCTTGACAGTGATCCTGGAGATTGCATCCGTCTCCTAGGGCTGCTGTAACGAAACACCACACATGGTGGCTAAACGATAGCCAAGTGTCCTCTGGGAGTTCTGAGGGCCACACTCTAGCTGCAGGCAGGGTTGGTTCGTCTGGGGGGCTCTGAGGGATGAACTGTTCCCTGCTTCTTCCAAGCTTCTGGTAGCGGCTGGTAATCCTTGGCTCCCTGGGCTCACAAGCGCATCACTCTGATCGCTGCCACCATCTCTTGCCCCCTTCTCCTGTCTGTGTCTCCATGTCTTCTCTTTGTGTAAGGGAACCAGTCACATGTGATTAAGGGCCCACCCTACGCTAGTATGACCTCATCTTAACTAAAAACATCTGCAGAGACCAGGTTCCAAATCAGGCCAAATTCAGTTGCCTGGAGTTAGGGCTTGAACGGATCTTTTTGGGGCCACAATCCAACCCTCAACAGGGCTCTGTATCAGTGTGTCTGAACTGTCCTCCTTCCTGCTGACAGCTGCGTGGCATATTTCACTGGATAAACTGTGCTTGATTTGCTTTTCCAGTCAGGTTTGGGAACGTAACTGGGAGACACGTCTCAGCAGAGTCTTAGGAAGAGCAGCAGCAGACGGGGCCGCAGAGGGACCACAAGGCTGTAGCTGGAAGGGCAGATGTAGCCAAGGTCCCGAGGTAGAAGGGGTCGGTGGGGGCTGGGAAGGGGGGCGAGGCAGGGTCTGGAGGACAGCAGGGCCACATGGCAGTGCCTTGAGGACAGTGGCAGATCCTCCTAAGTGCCAACTGCTCTTGAAATCTCAGCTTGTTCTGGGCTTCAGTATGTCCAATCAAAACACCTTCCCAGACTGTCTTTTTTTTTTAGATGGAGTTTCACTCTTTTCGCCCAGGCTGGAGTGCAGTGGCACGATCTCGGCTCACTGCAACCTCCACCTCCCAGGTTCAAGCAATTCTCCTGCCTCAGCCTCCTGAGTAGCTGGGATTATAGGCGCAGCCACCACGCCCTGCTAATTTTTTGTATTTTTAGTAGAGATGGGGTTTCACCATGTTGGCCAGGCTGGTCTCGAACTCCTGATTTCAGGTGATCCGCCTGCCTTGGCCTCCTAAAGTGCCGAGATTACAGGCGTGAGCCACCGCGCCGGCCCCCAGACTGTCTTGCGGCCGGAGCTGGCCATATGTCTTGACAGCTTCTGAGAAAGCTGTGAAACAGAACACGCTGTGGCGCACCGCTTGACCTCTGATCTCTGACCTTGCTCTCTGCCTCCCGCTGAAAACGGGATAGGATGCCTGGAGCTGCAGTGGGAGAGACCACAGCCGTAAGCCACCGGGTCAGCCTGGCCTTGGAAGGCTGGTCACATCCCTCTCATTCAGCACACTTCCTGTCATTTGCAGCCAAATGCACCACCAGCCGCCATGCAGAACTGAGTTTATTTCATTGTGTCAGCAGCTGTGAGCAGGTTTTACCCAGGGAGTGACAAGATCCAATTTATGCTTTGGAGACCCCACAGGAGGTTAGGAGGCAATAAGAGGCAGGCCAGGGTGGGGCCAGAGGCCACGAGGGTGTCTGGGCCAAAGGACATCTTGAGGCCAGGAATGGGGCAGGGGAGTCCAGTGGCAGGTAAGTGAGACCACGCTGGGGAGTAAACAGCAGAAGAAGCCCTTGGAGGTGTTGGGGGTGCACCCAAAGGAGGCGAAACTATGTGGCAGGAGCTAGAGTCTGAACTCCGCAGGGATCTGGAGTTTATGGCTCCTTCCTTTTTTTTTTTTTTTTTTTTGAGACGGAGTCTCGCTGTGTCTCCCAGGCTGGAGTGCAGTGGCGTGATCTCGGCTCACTGCAAGCTCCGCCTCCCGGGTTCACACCATTCTCCCGTCTCAGCCTCCCAAGTAGCTGAGACTACAGGCGCCGCCACCACGCCCAGCTAGTTTTTTGTATTTTTAGTAGAGACGGGGTTTCACCATGTTAGCCAGGATAGTCTCGATCTCCTGACCTCGTGATCCACCCGCCTCGGCCTCCCAAAGTGCTGGGATTACAGGCTTGAGCCACTGCGCCCGGCCATGGCTCCTTCCTTGACCCCTTAAGGGAAAGGGCTACCAAACGGCACTGCCGAGGGATTTGTCTCTGGGATGGGAAAGAGGGAGGCTGAAAGCGTAGAAGGGCAGAAAGAAGGGGACAGGCCCCGTGAGGGCTGGTGCTCAGGTCCTTGGTGCAGAGTTCAGGCAAAGCAGTGGCATTTTGGAGAGTCCAAATCTGAGAAACTGTTTTTCCAATCTCAGAGCCCACACCGGGTTCGCACAGACTTCCCCTTCCCTTTTCTTTTGATTCCTTTGGACATCAGGTGTCTGGAGCGAATGGAGCGTAAACCTCCTTGTGACCCTCTCATCACCAGCCTGAGCCTTTAGTGAGTCATTTCTCATAAAAAGCACCTGTGAGGCCACACTGACCCAGGACCTTCACCAGCCCTCCCTGTGCTGGGCAGGTTCTTGTGACTGTAGGGACGGCCTAGCCCTTTGCACACCCATCCCTTCATCCTCCCAACAGCCCTACAAGGTCGGTGCTGGCACTCCCGTTTTGCAGTGCAAGATACCAGTTGGGGAGGACCCCCGTCCAAGGCCACATGGCTAGCTGGTGCTGGAGCCAGTGCTGGGAGCCGGTCAGCCCATCCTTTGCCCTTCAGCAGGATCAGCTGGGGCCGGCAACCCTGGAGCGGCAGTGCAAGCACCAGAAGGGGCCTGGCCAGGGCCAGGGTCCAGGTCCCATGCTCCTGGGTCTCAGCTCCCTTGCTGCTTCTTGCTCACACACCCCTGACCTCATGGTACCCACCTACCCATGGAGAGGCAGACACATTGCTGGGTCCAGAGGCCAATTTCCAGGGAAC